CCCTGTGACCAAGTTTGAAGAAAATCGGTTAACGTTTGTTGTAGTAATTGCACGGAAACGAAATGCGGCAGATAATGAAGTTTTTCGTTATTCAAGGGGCCATAACTCTGCCAAATGGGGTCCGCTGAAAGTGGTCATCGAACGTGGCCGAGCCCCTTAAGGCATTTGACCCTGTGACCAGGTCTGAAGAAAAATCGGTTAACATTTGTGTTATTGCAAGGAAACGAAGCGTGACAGACAAACAGACAGACAGACGGACAAACCTAAATTAATATCCCCCGTTTCGGTGAAAGCGTGGGATAATAAAAAAAGAAGACTTGCTCGTTAATTCCACGGTGAACAAAAGCTATTTTGAAACTAGTACAGGTACATTACTCATGGTCGCCTTTGTTAATGAGTTTACTATTGACACTTATTTGCCTATACTAATGGACTGAACTGAACTGTCGATGGGCTATTCAACAATACAATCCCCTTTTCACATCAACAACCTTTGCATGATGCATGTTATTAAGGCCTCAATGTGTACACATATGTTGTATACATAATAACCTATTTGTACTCTTTATTTAAAAAATGAAAATTATAGATTGCCTGTCAACCCAACCTTGTCTTTTGAGGTACATACCGTTGTATTGGTGATTTTCACATATGACCATAAAAATATACATCACAGTATAAGTGTTGAAAGTAATTGATAACAATTTTACTGATATGATATTAGTTTTAAGATAAAATTAAAGATGCTATCCTTGTACATGTATTTGTCTCTTCAACAATTTTATGAACACTTTTGTTATTTTCACACTTTTATCATGGACAGCATCAAATGAACATAATCCATTGTGACGTCACAATATCTCTGACAGCATTTCTTTGTTCAACATGTTAACGTTAGAGTGGAGAAACGTTATAAAATATCCTTGGTCTCTTGATAAATAGAAGTATTTAACTAGTTGGTTCAACATTAAAATATTCACTTCACTCGTCAAACATAACTGCTATGCACCAAAAACCAAGACTACACTATATATAGGGCGTAAGAATTGTTCCTGCTGCCCCCATTGCATGATCGTAAGAGGCGAATAAATTTGGGATCCTATCTTTTCTTTTCTTTCTTAACAACTTTCTTCTTCCTAATATCTCCCTTGACAAAGCCTCACTTTTGGCCTTAAATTGAGCGTTCGCCCCTCTGAGGAAAGCTTTGGAATTTGTCCCCTGGCCGAGACATACCAGTGTCTGTAAAAATGGTATATTCTTCTCCTGCTTAAGGATGTACACCTCTGAGAAGTCAAAAATGTCCTGTATTAAACCTTTTTTCTTATATGGATATTTGGAAAAAGGAGTTAATGGCATAGTAGAAAATCCATTTTTTTGCAGATTAAACGCTTGATATAAAAAGTTCTGGTATTAAACTTTATTTAATATTAACTGAATTAAATGAAAATGTGCTTCTCTTGCTAAAACATCTACAAAAATGGGGGGTCAGTGTGCTTCTTTTTTGTCCCATTATCATGTGTTATTTTTTACCTTTTTCGGAGTCAAAAATCAAAAGTGCTTCAGTTACACTAAATAAATAAAAAAAACCACCAATAATGTATAATTTTCCAGTTTGTTGCATATCATTTTTATCATATTGAACATTATAAAGTTCTACAGCAAAATTGAACCAGCTATAATTAAAAATGGCGACACAATGACAATTTAAGTGATCAATCTAGTGTCAAAAAAGGTGAAATTTTGGCCTTTTTTGAAGCGCAAGAAATACACATAAATACACATTTTCAAAATGGCCGCCAAAATGGTATTTTTTTAAAAATTCCTCTAAAATAAGTTCTACAAACAACAGGCATCTAGTTTTTTGACATACTTTTCAGATGCGCGTTTGCTAATAAACTTGATCATAATTTGTTAAATATTACAAAATCCCATTACACCAGATCAAAACGAGACTTGAACGTGATTGAAACCTCAGAAGAGTACATCCTTAACGCTCAGCCATTTAGAAGTGGAACGACTGGTTCACCCGTTGTCAGTATAATGTGACCGGATGGGATGCCTGTTGGAGTCTTCGGCAGTATGTTTCAGTGAGGTAGCACTATAAAGTCGGCATTAGTTCCGCGCTATCACAAAGAGACAAACACGAACTTGTCGCAGCCTCCCAAAACACACACGCATACACTACACGCGTGCATCTTGCACACAGGAGAGGCCGTCCTTAAATGACCATAGCTGTTGATAGGACGTTATACAATACTAAACCAAACCAAACCAATCCAACTATATAGATATTGGCACGGCTGTATCCGTACTTGTACGATACACAAAATTCAAAATCTCCACTGCGGAAGTATTGTATCCTCAAGAATTCGCAATCTCTTACGGTGGACTAGATACAAGTATTGGATTTATCATCGCCCTAATTCGGTCGTATCCATGCCAGCGTATTATTGAATTCGAATCAGAAACAGTGTTCAAACCTGATATCTTTATCATCGGCTGGCACGATACCCGACGCTATGGCGTTGCCTTGGAAACCATTGTTTTTACATGACGATCACATAATTGGTAAATTCTTAACAGATACCACAAAGCTACAGCAAGGCTTAGAGGCAATTCCGATAAAGATTTGATAAAATGAAAGTAAATGAATTTTTCAACAAAGTGATGCTTGAAATTCCTTTTCCTTTAAGATAATGATTTTTTTAAATGATGCCCCGGAAAAATTCATTCCTATATTTGTTGTTTTGAAGTTGAAAATCCATTCAAAGAATTTTATCTTTAGTTTTTGTTCTAGGTTCAAAAAGTGTTCATGACTGACTTTCGTGTGTTGTAAGCTAAGTGAATTCAAATGAATATGCAATATACCATATCTGTCGACCTTGGTAATGATAGTTTCAATTTCCGTTGTGTTCAATTCAGATAACAAAAAGCTGGAATAAGAATTATCTGATAAGAAACATTTTGAGTGTAAATTTTTTCTTCAATATTGGTGTTTTTTTGGTATTTACGTTTGCATATGTTCATACCAACAACCATTTAACAACAAGAACTTCGGGTATTCGACCAGGCAATAGCTAGTCAAATCAAATGTTTGCAAAGGTCAAAGGCATGGTCAAAGTCACATGAAGATCATTGTTTATTTATAATAATTCTACCAAATATGTAAATGCCAACGAACACTTTGTTTAAATTACAAGTTATATTGACCTTAAACATTTAAAGAAAATAAAAAAAAAAACAAATTGTAAAATCTAATACAAAAGGAAGTTGGATGTATATAGTTCTTTCACTTATATTTTTACATGTTATCATATGCAAAAATCAAAAGAGATAATATAGTATTGATGAAAAAAACCCTGAACAATCCGAACAGCAATTTCATAATTAATATTTAGTGCTGTGTTGATAATGGTCGACATTTTAATCTAAACACTACAATCTTCAAATCTTAATATGTTGAAAATGTTTAAAAAAAAATAACAACCGGAATTTAAAATAATTAAAGCAATACAAAAAAAGTAGTGAAACGTAAAGTTTAATATTTTCAGTAAAATTCTATGTAGATCAAGCCTTATTTTCACGAACGTCTTCACCTTAGTTTTTTTCATAAGATAAGCGAATTTCTTGAACTTACATATATATTGCCTTTACCAAAATATCACTTCTCTATGGAAAAACTGAAGTGACTGAGGTAAAATCAGCCAATCACCAAGTGCTTGTAGTTCCTCTCTGAAAAAAGTTCCGGCTAATTACTGGGCCACTGAAGGGGTTTAATAAGGAACTGATGACAGATCTTTAGATAAATGAAATGTTCAGGTATTTAACTTTTGAAAAATATATACTTTGGATATATTTCCATGTCTGTGTGCGGATTTGCACCGGGGCAAAATGCCTGGGGGCGTTTCTGTTTTGGGTCACATGTTTTGCTTGTAAACTTCCGGTTGTCAACTTCTTGGCGCTGTGACACTCCCATATGCCACTAAACCTACCAAAACAGTCATTTTGTAGCCTTTGCAAGGTATGTATTTATGAATCTAGACAGCTGGCACTAGTTTTGAACTTCAAATATTAATGTTATTAGCTCAAATGTTTGGTAATAACATAGAGTAAACGATTTAGTTGTGTGAGTCCTTAAGGGCATTCGAAACACTTGGACCAGGGATAATACTATTAGATGATTGGGTTTGAGGATGAAAGGAATTAGGAGTATTTGTTTCGGGAACTACACTTGGAGTCACCAGTAGAGGTCACTGGAAGGGCATGTTTTACTTGTAATTATATCTTGTTGAAACAAACAAAAAACATTGTGTAATTTAGGTTATTATGTTTAAGTGCCAAATTGACTTTTAAATGAGTAACACATGGTTTGTATATGTAGCTCTCTGTAAGTCGATAAACATGTGCACTCGCCTTCTGATTCGGTCTTCGATACTGGCCTAGCTCCACATACAATATAGCAACACTAAAACACACAAACAAAACCACTGCCAGTAGGACAAACCAAAATCAGTTTAAGCAGAAAATGCGATTTTGTATTTGCCCCAACGAAATTTCTGTTTGGAGAAAGCATTTAGTATTACGTTGTATATTATATAGGTAAATTGAAAGTGGGATAAACTATTACCAAACTAAGTAGTAAGTGTTTATTGTCAGTGGCGCCATCTCGTTACAAGTAATGTTGACATCAGTACAGGAGTACTACGATAGTGATAATGAAGTGTGTGTTTTATTTTGACAGAAGTGGCGAAACACACATGTAGGTATGTACACATTTAAATTCCACCTACAAGTGTGTACAAAGCCAACTAGTATAGGTTTTATTTGTTTGTACAGACGTGTAATACACGTGTAGTTAAAGCCTCATGCTGAGACATGGATATCGTTAACAAGTATCAGTACCACGTGTGGGAGCCCACCTGAGCGCCAATGTAAACACATGAGGGTGATGTAACAGCACCCCTTACTTACACACGTCCCACATATACTGATATACTTACCACGTCTATCAGCTGGGAGAGTCGTATGCCCATCTTGACCACAAGTTTGTCCGAACTGTTACTGACCGGTCTGATGAGTTTGTTATAGTGTCTTTCCACCAGTAGATCGTGGTATAGCCTTTTGGCATCGTCACTACACCAGGTAGGCACGAAAAAGGCCAACAGACAGCACCCCGATACGTATAGCCACACCATACTGCTCCCTCTTAATAGTTCAATCTCGCTCACATACACTTTCCAGTCAAATCAAGAAGTTGCCATTTGTCAGAAGTTTCGATGAACATTAGGTATCCTGTCTATTCATATTAGATTGATTTCTTCTGTTGTGCGATAGGCTTCTAAGTATGCTGTGCGGCTCTCGCTCTCTCTCGCGCGTGCTACCGGCTGTTACAATCAACAGTCCGATAATATGTATACTCCATTTACGAAAGTATGCAAGAGTTCACCGCTCTACGCATGGCTCTGTATGTATTGATCAGCGCCATCTGGTGGCAGCGGAGGGAGAAACAAGGAAAGGAGAAGCAGAAAATATTACGACGGAGTAATTTTCTTCTTTATAGAAAAATATAAGAAGATATTTACAAAAGAAATATCTCGAAGGCGCAGAGTGGTATGTGCGCAGCCATTTGACGCGTCGAAAGGGTGACTGTGAAGGCGAGATGAATGTCCGCTAATGGAATAAATCAACACGTTTTTTATTGATTTTACGAGTGAGAAGATATGGGTTTGGGAATTAGAAGACAAGTCCCATTAGCCATGTCCAATGGAGTCGATATGTAACGGATTAAAGACTGTAAGGGGTTTTTATTGTATACGTAACTGGTGATCTAACAGGTGTATATAATCCTGTGGTGGTACATGTGTACTGGGCTTTCTGGTGATCATACGGGGTTTAACTGTGTCTGTAAAACTTCTTGCTGATCATGTGGCTTCTCATTGTATACGTAAAACGTTTTGGAGATCACATCAGATTTTACTGTATATGCTACTTTCTAGCGAGTATACAGACTTTCTATATAAGTCGCGCTTTGATGATCGTAATTGATCTGCATTGTTTGTCATTTTCTGGTGATCATACGAGGCTCTGACAGTGTTTCATATGAGGTTTTCGACATGTATACTTATGTAGCGTTTTGATGAACATACGGACTTTGACAGTGGTTGTCACTTTCTCGTGATCATACGTGTTTTTCTGTACACGAAGCGTTTTGTTGAACATACAGGCTTCGTTGTTTGTCATTATCTTTTGATCATACGTTTTTTTTCTGTATGCTAGCGTTTTGATGAACATACGGGCTTTCACATTGTTTTTCACTTTCTTGTTATCATATGGGATTTGTCTGTATACAAAATTATTTGATCAACAAAACGGGCTCTGACAGTGTTTGTCAAATATTTTGTGATCATACCGGGGTTTTCTGTATCGTTTTAAAAAAAATACAGTGACTGTCACAGATTATATACAAATATATAGGACCAAACAATACCGTGACTGACACAGAATATCTATAGAGATATAGGACAACACAATATTGTGACTGTCACAGAATATCTGTAGAGATATAGGACCAAACAATACCGTGAATGACACAGAATATCTATAGGGATATAGGACAAAACAATATTGTGACTGTCACAGAATATCTGTAGAGATATAGGACCAAACAATACCGTGAATGACTCAAAATATCTATAGAGATATAGGACAAAACAATATTGTGACTGTCACAGAATATCTATAGAGATATAGGACAAAACAATACTGTGAATGACACAGAATATCTATAGAGATATAGGACAAAACAATAC